AGCTCACTTGGTAGCCCTGGCTGGCCTCAAACTCACAGAGATCCGCCTGGCTCTGCCTCCCAAGTGCTGGGATTAAAGGCGTGCGCCACCGCCCGGCTAAGCCCAGGTTTAATGGGTAAAGTGCTCCGGGGCAATTCTCCAGCCCCCAGAGCCACGAGTCTGCTTTCTGGATCCGCTTATATATGCTCCGTGGGAGTCATCCTGAGCCTCTCTGGGGGAGGAGCTGTGTTTGGCAGAATTTAAAGGGGCGGGTTTGGGGAGGAGCTATGTTTGGCAGGCTTTGAAGGGGCGGGTTTGGGGAGGAGCTGTGTTTGGCGGGCTTTGAAGGGGCGGGTTTGGGGAGGAGCTGTGTTTGGCGGGCTTTGAAGGGGCGGGTTTGGGGAGGAGCTGTGTTTGGCGGGCTTTGAAGGGGTGGATTTGGGGAAAGAGATGGGGAAGGGAGCCTAGGTGGATCTTCCACCAGACTCCTTCCAAACATTCCAGACTCTTTGGGTATAAAGACACCAGTTCAAGTCTGACTACTTCCTGCAGGCATTGGGCAATGTGGGAAAGAGGAGTCAGGAATTGGTGAGCTCACATTCAACAGGAGGTGTGAGTGGAGGACCATCCAGTTAATTTTCATCCTGGAGACCTCAGGCATCTATTTCTTGAGGAATCAAAGAGGGCAAGTTTAAGGGGAAAAAATAGATTATTAACATCTGCCCTAGTTGTACTTACTGTACAGAGCAGAAGAGCAGATAGGCCCTTTAGTGGGACATCTTGGAAAACTGGAGGGTGGAGGGTCCCAGCTGCTGGACAGACCATGTATCCTGAATAGGTGCCCGCTTGAGCCTGGAGAGATGGTACCAGCATAGATGTCGAGATAGCCGAAGGGGTGGTGAGGATCACAGTATAAGGTCCTGTCCATTGGGGCTCAGGAGACTTAGGAGCTAGCTGTTTGAGGAGTATTCTGTCCCCTGGGGAGAGTGGGACAGGCTCAGAGGCAGATGGGTCTGTTGGTGTTGGGGCAGGGAGATAGCTGTCAGCATGTGAATGGAGATGGGAACCTCAGAAGAGAGAGGTGGGGAGGAGCCTGGCCAGTGGGGAAGTTAGGGCTGGGAGGTGGTGATTGAGGAGGAAGGGCCTTCCATAAAGGAGTTCAAAAGGGCTCAGGCCTGTAAGAGAGCATGGGGTGGTCTGGAGGCGGGTAAGGGCAGTGGGGAGAAGGAGGGCCAAGATAACCTGAGTTCAATGGAGAGCTTGGTGAGCTGTGGTTTGATGAGTCCATTGGCCTTCTCAACCTTTCCTGGTTGGTGTCCTGGAAGCTGATGCAGAGGCTGACATTTCTGGAGGGCCCCTGTGAATGGACCTGTGAAATACTCAGGAGAGTGTGACAGCCAAGGTGAGTGTGACCCCAAAAAGGCTGAGAACATTGCAATCAAGCAGAGATGCAGGGCAAGCACGAATGACCAGAAAAAAGTGTGAGAAGAATCGCCCTGCAAGAATGCAGGGAAGTGTCAGGGTCTTAAGTGGGAAGGAAGGGATCCCGTCCACCCCTGTGACAGAAATTGGTGAGGGAACCGTAGGACCTGAGTGAGATGTCAAAACAGAATAGGTAGCTCCCATGTCCAAAAGAAAGTCAACTGACTTTCCTGTTACCTGCAGCGTCACCCTAGGCTCGGAAGAGGGCAATGGGAGTCAGCAGATCTAGGCCATGTCCGTTCTCCGCCAGGCTTAGGAGTTCCCAGTTGCCAGAGTTGGTGAGACCTCCATGGCATGACATAGAGGATGAGCCTGCAAGGGGGCATTCTGATTTCCAGTGCCCAGGCTGTCGGTGGCTGGGGGTCAGGGGCAATACTGCGACCAGTGGCCCTGCTGGCTGCATTTGAAACAATTTTTTTGGAGGAGTTGACTTGGGCTGAGTTCTGGTGGGATGGAGCCTCATGGCCGACTTCCCTTGGACCCCTTGTGGGGGCCCTGGTGTCCTCAGAGCAGTTGCTAAGGCTTGGACTTGGAGCGTGTTCTGTTGCAGCCTTGTCTG